AGTCGTGAGCACAGAGTTAAGCTCACCGGAAGGCACACCTGTCTCACTACAGTTTCAAGACCGATCCGATGAATCACAAAGATTACGTGGGACGATACCTTTCCAGTCTGATTCAGTTGCCGGGATCTTCATCAAGATTTGAGATCTTTGAGTGCTCATTCCATAACATCTGAGAGCATCCGGTTTGGAGCTATGTGCTGAAAGATACCGTCTCCGGAGTGAACACTGGTCCAAAAGCTTCCTTTTGATCGTTTCAATTCACTTCATAGATGAGCTGTCCAGGGAACCTTCTACTTTCCAAGCGCCAAAGGTTATTTCACCAAAATTTGAGATGTTTGAGTGCCCTTTCCACTGCAGCTAGAATCAAGCCATTTGGATCTATATCCTGGAAGTTACGATCCTCCGAATGCAAAGTGGTCCAAGTAGATTTGAAGTCTGCGAGATGGTTTTGCGACTTGGATAACTCGCAGCGCTTTAAGGATAATTTCTGGGAATTGAGCTGCATGTTGAGATGTGCGGGTAAGGTAACCCTGGATGAGGTCAAAGGCTCCCAAGCAGGAAAAATGCTAAGTCCACAAATGTGCGACTTGAGCATGCGAGTTGACCGAGTAGTGAACTGAACCGCAGGAATACTCGCAGTTTACACCGAGTTGGGCATGCGACTTGGGAATGAAGTGGACCAACTCGCACACATATTTGAAGTCCTGTGCTATATGGTTGTGCGAGCTAGGGAGCAAAGGGAACTGAGCCGCATGAAGACTCGCGGTTTACACCGAGAGAGGAATGCGGCCTAGCTTACATGATTCTATCTTGCTGAAGCTTCTTTCTAGACCTGTGCGAGTTGGGCATGCGAATTGGGACTAAAGGAGGACCAACTCGCACACATATTCTCCCCAGATTTCTGTTTGGTCATGCGAGTTGAAGAGAAGAAAGACTGAATCGCATGAAAACATGCGGTTTACACCTAGATGGGCATGCGGCTGAGACTGAAGGACTTAAGGCTCACAAGACTGTTTCTTTGGTTGTGCGGCTTGGACATGCGACTTGGGAAGCTCCTGACCAACTCGCACACTCGACATTTTACCCATCAAAGCCGGGTCAGGACCCGGTTTGTTCTGGGCTGACCCGGTTCGTTTTAAGACCTATATATAGTTTTTTAGGGTTTTACCCTAATGACTAAGCTTAATTCCTTTTGTTTCTTGCCTCTTTTGTGAAAGACTCCCTTTTTAGAAGAGAAATATCGATTTTTAAGGGTTCTAATCAAGAGATTTTGAGAGATCTTTGTGTTTAAAGCTGCAAATCCATCATTATCCATCTTCTTCATCTCCATTTCTCATCATTAATCATGTCAATCTTCTCAAATTGCAAAGGTTTAAGAGAGATTAGTATGATTAGTGAGTAGTCATCTTAATGAGGTTCTAGATGTGTAGGTTAGGGTGCTAAAGTGTTAGATTAGGAGTGCTTAGGGCTAGATTCATTGATTCATCTCTCTAAACAGCTGTTCTCTAGGCTAGATCCTTGCATATCACTTGTGATCTAGAATCTGGGAATTTTATGCACCAAAAGTGTTTGATGAAATTCCTGAAAGAGCTGTATTAGAGGTTTAAGCATTTGCTGCATGATGATGTATTGTTATTTGCTTGAATGCTCTTTTAGAACTGTTTATTAATGCTCACTGATTCATATTTCACAAATGATGATTTGGTTTCAAAATGGATTAGTGTAGGGTTATTTCCTTCATGAGAGGATTAATCTAGATTAGAGTTCTTAATCATTTGAATCATGTTTCATCATTGTTATTAACATTCCTAGTTTAGCACCAAAGCACCTTAGCCAACTATCATGTCTAGAATCTCATGCCTCCATCATCTCATATTCACATCATTTGTCATTTGCTTAGTTCTTGTTTGATCACTTGCTTAGTCATTAATCTTTTTTAAAGTTCTTAGTTGTCATTAGTCAATCAAAACCTCATATGTTTACTTGAATTGAGAAACTGGTCACATAGCTTAGTGTCTAGCACCTCATTCTTGGATTAATACCTCTTTTGTGCTACTTTGACAAGGGGATTGATAGCCCTAAGACCCAAAAAGTCTTGTCTATCAATTGTCGCCGTTGCCAAAGTGTGGTTTGTTTAGCATTAGGCTCTGTTCTGTTCTTGAGATCAAGTACTTTTTTTTTGGTTTTACTAATTACTTTCAAGCTCTGTTTTTGATTTCAGGTGTATGAACACCAGGTCCAGGTCAAGAAGCTGTGGTCCACCTTTCCCTCTAAATGACAACATCAATCTTTTGGTTCCAAGAAGGAGAAGGGATAGGCGTGGAAGGCAGACTGATAAGGCTGATATGGAAGATCAGAGACAGCATGTGGTTGACATTGAGCCGCAGGTTCAAGAGGAGCAACAGGCTCAGGTGCAGCAGGGTAATGGAGCTGGTAATGCAGCTGACCTCACCGTTTTAGAAGCAACCATAGAAATGATGAAACCCACTTTTTATCCCCATCCATCTAGAAATCTTGGTTCAAACCCTACGTTACCGGTGGAAATGGACCTGGTAATGGACCTGGTAATGGAGATGGTCAAGGGTTCCATCAGGGTAATGTTCAGCAGGAACAGGTGCATCAACAGCAAGCTTATGTCTACCAGGGACAAGCTCCAGCTCATCAGCAAAGGCACCAGGCCAATGTACAGCAAAGACAACAGGCTCACCACCAACAGCCCTTCCAAAAACAACCAAGAAGATATGAGCAGCCACAGGTCTATGTAGGAGAGAATGACAGGACCAATGCTCATCAATATGGAACAGGGATTCAAGCACCACCTGTGCAAAACAACAATTTTGAAGTGAAGGCATCCTTATTAAATATGGTCCAAAACTCCAAGTTCCATGGATTGGCAATGGAAGATCCTTTGGAACACTTGGACCAATTTGATAAAGTTTGTGACTTGACAAAGAAAAATGGAGTATCTGAGGACAGCTTTATGCTCAGATTATTCCCCTTCAGTCTTGGTGACAAAGCACACCAATGGGAGAAGAATCTTCCAAGAGGCTCCATTTAAACCTGGGAGCAATGCAAGCAGGCATTTCTGTCTAAGTTGTTCTCAACTTCCAGAACACCAAAGCTAAGAAACCAAATCTCCAGCTTCAATCAACATAGCAATGAGAGTTTTGGTGAAGCATATTCAGGAGCTACACTAACCAGTGTCCACACCATGGGTTTAGTGAGGCTTCTCTTCTCAGCACACTTTATAGAGGGGCTCTTCCCAAGATTAGGAACCAGCTGGATACTGCATCAAATGGAAACTTTATGGGGAAGGAGATTCATGCTGCTTTAGAGCTGGTTGAGAACTTAGTAATGAGCAATTATACATATGGAGAAGACTTTGATAGAGCCAATAGGCGTGAGAGTTCAAGCAGGGATCAAAGGTATGAGAAGGACTTTAAAACACTTGAAAGGATGCTGGACAAGGTGTTATTGGCCACTCAAAAGCCAAATGCACTTTGTAGAAGAGTATGAGGAACCTTCTCAATGCTTTGAGAACATCAGTGAAGAGGGTCTTACTCAGGAAGAGCTAAACTATATTGGGAATCAGAGGTTCCAAAGATATCAGTATGCCAATGCCAACCAGAACCTCTCTTACAGGAATCCCAATGTAGCCAACCCACAAGACCAAGTTTACCCTACCTGATGTAAGAACCGGTGGTGGCTCTCACACTGATGATACGGGTGGGAACTAAGATAGGCGGTCGCCCTCTCCTTAGCTCGGTTGATGATCGATGATGGGATGATCTGACACACAGGCGGTCGCCCTCTCGTGTAGGATCTAAACGGGGTGTGATGGATGATGAGTCTCTAATACGGTGAAGGCTCAAAGCTTGCTTGAATCGCACAAACAAACTAAGAACAAAGAGAAATCGCTTCTCGGTAAACTTTGAAGAAAGTTCGATATTTTATTGATATGGGGAAAAAGTCTGTGGACTACAATGCTGCAAAGGAACCTTATAAACTGGTTCGTCAGCTTGAACCTTCTAGGGTTCGACTCTGGACTCAAAACGACAGGACTAAGTAAATAAAACTCAAAGAAAACAAACCTAGTCTAAGAAACAAAGCTCATCGTTCCATTTATTACAGAAATGGAGAGTTTGAAATAAAAGACTTAAACTACACGACTTGAGTCGTTTAACTCTCAGTCGCTCGCGATGTCGATTCCTCCTGCAAGCACAATAAAATAATTGAAACACTTACCTCAGGGTGGCGCGGCTCGTTTGGTGTCGTGCGTGGCCTCGATGTTCTTTGAAGTGTCCTGCCTTGGCCTGTTGTGGCTTGGGTCGCTTGAGGCGTCTTCTAGTCCCGAAGAATCTTGATCTTCATGTTCCTTAAGCTCTATGACCGTTGCTTCTTGTATGGCTAGTCGCTCGGCCTCGGTTAGCTTGTTATTGCGTCCACTTGGTATGTTGTGAAGCAACTCCAATTCTGTTCGTTCGCCTGCTAGAATTCCACGAGCATTAGTTTTATAATATGCACTTGGTCGAGAGAAATTACCTTTGTTGGTCAGTTCTAGGTCGTCTGGTGGCTCGGCCTGCGTTGCATGGCATTTCTCGACTAAAACGAGTGTGGCATCGGCAATCTCTTGTTCTGCTCGTTCGAATTCAATTCTGTCTTGAGCGTTGACTTCAGGAGATGATTTTGGTCGAGGAATGTCAGCTCCAGTACGGTCGATTTTTTCATCATGGTGGTCTAGCCGTTGAAGCTTTATTTTCTCGGCTAAAAGTTCTCGCGCATCGGCCACAAGTTCTCGCGCTTCGGCTATTTTTGGGCTATCTCTGAATTCTTCAGTTTTTAAGCCTGTAAACGAAATTCTGCTCGGACTGTTAGCTTTTAAATCAAAAGTTGGTCGAGAGATGTCACATTGGCCGCGTGAGAATCGATGGTCTGGTGTGTCTTCTCTTTGAGTCATGTTCTCGGGCCCGATTTGGTCGCATAGGTCGTTTACGCCGTGTATGACTTGTAGGTCTAGCAGCAGGGGGTCGTTTGGGTCCAGTGAGTTTATGAAGACGTGTAGTGCCTTCTTGTATCTTGGACCGAGTCATGGCCCCGTCTTGGACCTCCGGTATGTGTCTCTCGATGCTTGATGGGTTGGTGGGATCGATGTCCACATCACTACCTCTCAAACTCCACATAATTTTGTTCCCAAGAACAACTTTCAAGGGTCTTTTCGACCAAAGAATCAGTTTGTTCAAAATCAGGGTTACAGTCAGCATCAGCAACTACTTCAGAGTTCTTGTTTCAGTTCACAGCAGCAGCCAAAAGCACCACCAGGGTTCAGTGCACCACAGTTTCAGCAGCCGGCGCCGGTTCAGCATCAGTTCCAGTCAGCACCGGTTCACCAGCAGCAACAGAATGGGCCGGACATGGTTGGTATTCTACAACAGTTGCTGCAGGGTCAACAAATGTTTGCAAGTCAGTATGCATCTATGCAGTAGGACATCAAGGAGTTAAAACAGAATCTGGCCGGCATCCACTTCAAGAAGCCAAGGTGGCTTACCTGGTAAGCCTGAACCAAACCCAAAAGAGTATGCTAAAGCCATTACATTGAGAAGTGGCAAAGAGCTACCAGGTATAGAGCACAACAATGTGATCATTGAGGACAATGATCAAATTGGTGGGGAGGTAGCCCCAAGGGATGATCAAGAAGCTGAAAGATCAAAGAAAGGGAAGGACAAAGAGGTGGAAAAGCCATCAGAACCAGAAAATCCCTATGTTCCACCACCTCCCTATCAACCTAAGCTCCCATATCCAGGAAGATTCAAGAAGCAGCTTGTAGATAAAGCAAGGGCACTCTTTGAGAAGACTTTTAATGAGACACCTCTTATAATGCCTCTCATTGAAGCATTTCTGATGATGCCTAAGCTTGGAAAATTTCTAAAGGATGCTATCTTGAACAAGACCAAAGAGCTACAGGGTATGGTGGTACTAAACCATGAGTGCAGTGCCATAATTCAGAGAATTTCCGTCCCAAGGAAGCTGTCTGATCCATGGAGCTTTACTCTCCCTTGTGCTATAGGTCCATTAATGTTTGCTGGTTACCTTTGTGACTTGGGTGCATCTGTTAGTTTAATGCCGTTCTCTATAGCAAGAAAGGTTGGATACAGAGTGTTCAAACCTGCTAGAATCTCTCTTGTCTTGGCTGATAGATCTGTGAGGTTACCTGTTGGGATGTTAGAGGACTTACCAGTCAAGATAGGTGGTGTTGAAGTGCCCACAGATTTTGTTGTTCTAGAGATGGATGAAGAACCTGTTGATCCACTGATTTTGGGCATGCCATTCTTAGTCACAGCAGGAACAATTATTGATGTGAGAGGTGACATTATTGAGCTACAACTTGGTAAAGAAAAGCTGAAGTTTGATATCAAAGACATGAAGAAGAAGCCCACCATAGAAGGACAATGCTTCTATGTAGAGACCATGGATCAACTAGCTGATGAGTTGCTTGACGAACTGAATACTGATGATCCTCTTCAAGTTGCTTTAACCAAAGAACAAGGAGACCATGGGTTCTTAGCAGAGGAGAGTGAAGGATACAAGCTGTATTTGGACAATGCAAGAGAACTTGGTCCTGAGGCAAAGTTTTTGGAATTGGAACAACGTGGCCCTGAGGTCTTGGATATCAGAGGCTCAAACACAAGCCAAGGAGCAGTTCAAGGAGTCATGGCCATGGGTTCTAAAGTGGAGGAGCATGCTGGGCCGTGTGAGCAAGACAGCTTCAGTGCTGATTGGGATGAGTCAAAGGCACCTCAGCTGGAACTCAAACCTCTTCCCAAGGGGCTCAGTTATGCTTTCTTAGGTCTCAATGAGTCTTATCCTGTCATTATCAATGATATGCTGTTAGAGGACTAAGAACATAGGTTGTTAGAAGAGTTGAGGAAACATAGGAGAGCCATTGGCTATTCTCTGGATGACATAAAGGGTATCTCACCCTCCCTATGCACTCATAGGATTCACTTAGAAGAGGAGTATATGTCATCCATAGAGCACCAAAGGCGTCTCAATCCCAACTTAAAAGAGGTAGTGACGAAAGAGATTCTCAAACTCTTAGAGGCTGGGATAATTTATCCAATCTCAAACTATAGATGAGTTTCACCAGTCCATGTGGTGCCCAAAAAGGGGGGAATGACAGTAATTAAGAATGAGAAGGATGAGCTGATTGCTACTAGGACTATAACTGGACACAGGATGTGTATAGATTATAGAAAGCTCAATGCAGCCTCTAGGAAATACCATTTTCATTTGCCTTTTATTGACCAAATGCTAGAGAGGCTTGCAAACCATCCCTTCTTTTGTTTTCTAGATGGTTACTCTGGATTCTTTCAAATCCCAATAGATCCAAGAGACCAAGAGAAGACCATATTTACCTGTCCTTATGGGACATTTGCTTATCGGTGCATGCCATTTGGGCTGTGCAATGCTCCTGCTACTTTCCAGCGTTGTATGATGTCTATCTTTTCAGATCTGATTGAGGAGAAAGTAGAGTTCTTCGTGGATGACTTCTCAGTCTATGGACACTCTTTCTCCTCTTGTTTGTCTAATCTTTCTCAGGTCCTGGATAGATGTGAGGAGCACAGCTTGGTGTTAAATTGGGAGAAATGTCACTTCATGGTCCAAGAGGGAATAGTGTTGGGGCACGAGGTCTCAAAAGCTGGAATAGAAGTGGACAGAGCAAAGGTGGAAGTGATGGTGAATCTGCAAGCTCCAAACTCAGTCAAAGGCATAAGAAGCTACCTTGGGCATGCAGGGTTTTACAGGAGATTCATCAATAGATAGGCTTTTGACTAGGCTGTTGTGCAAAGAGGTTGAATTTGTCTTTGATGCTGAGTGTGAGGAAGCTTTCAAGAAGATCAAGGAGGCATTGATCAGTGCACCAATTGTCCAGGCCCCTGATTGGTCATTGCCCTTTGAAGTGATGACTGATGCTTCAGACTATGCAGTTGGAGCTGTGCTTGGCCAGAGGAAGGGCAGAAAACTTCATGTGATCTACTATGCCAGTAGGACCCTTGATTCTGCCCAAGAAAAGTATGCAACCACAGAAAAGGAAATGCTGGCAATAGTTTTTGCATTTGATAAATTAAGAAGCTACCTGGTGGGATGAAAATTCATTGTGTACACTGATCATGTAGCCCTCAGATATCTAATGACCAAGAAGGATGCCAAGCCTAGACTTTTGAGATGGGTCCTCTTACTTCAAGAGTTTGATATGGAGGTACAAGACAAGAAGGGCATAGAAAATGGGGCTGCAGACCATCTCTCTAGGTTAAGAGTGGACTCTGAAGTCCCTCTTAATGACTCTCTCCGTGAGGAATCATTGATGGTGCTCAACTCTTACTTGAGGTTTGAAGAAGTGGATAGCATCCAAGAGAGGAGAATGCCTTGGTTTGCTGACATTGTGAACTTTCTTGCTTGTGGAGTGGAACCACCAGAACTTGATGCTTACCACAGAAATAAATTCTTCAAAGATGTCCACAGATACCATTGGGATGAACCTTACCTGTATGTCCTGAACAAAGATCAGCTGTATAGAAGGTGTCTTGCTGAAGAGGAGATGCAACCTGTGTTGCAAGAATGCTATGGATCAGCTTTTGGGGGTCACATGGGAGCATTCAAGACGGTGGCCAAGGTTCTTCAGAGTGAGTTTTGGTGGCCTACTATGTTCAAGGACGCTCAAAGGGTTGTTTTAGCATGTGATGCCTGTCAGAGGCATGGGAACATTTCAAAGAGGAGTGAAATGCCTCAAAATCCAATATTTGAGGTTGAATTTTTTGATTGTTGGGGAGTAGACTTCATGGGGTCATTCATCTCATCTTATGGGAATCAGTACATATTAGTGGCTGTGGACTATGTGTCCAAATGTGTTGAGGTTATTGTTTCCCCTACCAATGATTTCAAGGTGGTGGTCAGGTTGTTCAAGAACATAATCTACCCAATATTTGGAGTACCAAGAGTTGTCATTTCTGATGGAGGTTCTCATTTTGTGAACAATACCTTGGAGGGATTGCTGAAGAAGCATGGAGTGAAACATAAGGTAGCTACTCCTTATCATCCTCAAACTAGTGGCCAGGTTGAAGTGTCTAATAGACAAATTTAGGCCATTCTTAAGAGGACTGTTAAGTCAAGCAGAAAAGATTGGAGCAAAAGGTTGCATGATGCATTGTGGGCTTATAGAACAGCCTTTAAGACCTCAATTGGGACATCTCCTTTCAATCTGCTATATGGGAAGAGCTGCCACCTTCCTGTTGAACTGGAGTACAAGGATTTATGGGCTGTGAAGTTGCTGATCTATGATATCAAAACAGCTCACGAGAAAAGGATGATTCAACTCCATGAAGTTGAAGAGATCAGGTTGGAGGCTTTTGAGAGCTCCAAGATCTATAAAGAAAAGACCAAAGCTCTACATGATCAAAAGATTTTGAAAAGGGAGTTCAAGGAAGGTGATTTGGTGTTGCTGTTGAACTCTGAGCTTAGATTATTTCCTGGAAAACTTAAGTCTAGATGGTCTGGTCCCTTTAAGATTCTTGAAGTTAGGCCATATGGAGTTGTTCTGTTATAAAGTAAAGATGGTCAAGAGTTTGTGGTCAATGGCCAAAGGATCAAGCACTACCTAGTCTCACAAAGGAACGAGGAAGCTACATCAGTTCCCCTTCTTGATCCACCATCAGCATAAACTTGGTATCAAAGTCAAACTTAGAGACTTTAAACAAAGTTCTCTTGGGAGACACCCCAAGCTTATCTTTGTACATAGTTCTTTTGATATTTTCTTTTCTTTCTTTTATGTTTTAGGATCTTTTGATGGTTTTGTGAGTTGTTCTCAGGTTCCAGGTGACTTTTAGAGGCCATGGCTCAGGGACAAAGTGGAATAGATCATGTGAGAAGGCTGAGAAGAGGGTCTAAGGCATGGAAACTGATGGACGCCTGTGTGCTACTTGGGTGTGCGGCTCAGTCAATGATCTGCTCAAAGTTTAATCCCTAAGCTACTCTGCAAGAGCACAGACGTGCAGTTGTAGTATTGCAGGGGTCGAACCACAGAGAAAAGAGATCACTCAATAAACCTATTAGAGATCGAATTAGGCTAAGCAGAAATATATGAAATAAATAGGGATGCAACAGAAATAAACTAAACAGCAGTGAAAACGTTTTTAAGATTGAGATGGAATGGAGGTTAGGCTTAGGGCGTTTCTCAGGAAATCAATGAATGCAGGTCAATCAATTAGTCAGGGTTCAGGTTTAAGCACGGTTCTTGAACTCGAAACACAGAATTATAATTAACCAACTTCCGTTGTGAGAATTATCTAAGTTAAAATCCTAGAATTCCAAATTCCTTTGCAAATCCTACAGATTTAAACCAGCTTTAATGCACCAGTTCGATATGTTCACAAAACATCTAAACCAAATTCCTTTGCGAATAGCTACTTTGCTCACACTAGGTTTTTTCCAGTTATTCTATTACACTTCCGTGTCAATTAAGCAACCTAAGATCTAAGTTCTAGGTGATCAGTCCAGAATTAGCTTTAAGAACAACCTATGGTGAAGAATTAACAGATATGAACCCTAACTAAATCAATTAATCATACATCCAGAGAAAACCTTAATGAGAACCCTAAACCTAATAAGCTAAACACTCTGACATCGATATTGAAACAACACACATGATTAAATAGATTGCAATAAGAAGATGAATAAAATAAATAAGGGGTTCGAAATCTTCTCTCTAAACGAACAGAGTTCAGACTTGTCTCCCCAAGCTCTCAAAATCGCAAAAAGCCTAAAGCACAAAGATGTCTTGCTCGAAAATCTAAAGTGAGGTTCAAAAGTGACTAAAAACCCTATTTATATCTCTTACACGTATTGGGCTTCTCTGAAAACTTCTGGGCCCAACTCCTTCTTCAAATAGGAAACAAAATCGCGTTCTCCTTATTTCTTTGACAAGTGCCGAGCGTCACTCTCCATGGTGTCGAGCGACACCAATGCACATGATTTTTCCTTCGCAAATTTGATCCTGATTTAGTTCCAAAGTGCTCCAAAATCTCCAGTTAAGCTCCAAATGTACCTAAGACCTGTAAAGACTCCAAAAGACTCGAAAAACACTAAAAAGACTCTATAAATAAGACCTATACCATGGTTAAAAACCATAAAAACCATGATATATCAGTCAAGCCATATACCAACTCGCAGAAGAACTCGTTGTTAACACCTACTTGGGTCTGCGGGTCATTTACCTAGCAGCAAAAGATTTGAGCACGAAATATGCTAAGTGTTAAATCGTGCGAGTTGGTAATGCGAGTTGGATGCAAGGAGAGCCCAGGCCGCACTTATAAGCGCTGTTTACACCGGCCTGGTGCTGCGAGACAGACCAAGAAGATCATGCCACACATGGAACGAAAATGGCCAGGAAGTCTAAGTGTTAAAACCTGCGAGTTGGTCCTGCGGGTTAGATGCAAGAAGGCCAGGCCGCATGACCATTCGCATTTCACACCGAGTTGGTCATGCGAGATGGGTAGATGCGGTCCCAAGTCGCACAAGAAGAACAAGATGCCCAGACGACTAAGTGTTAAAATGTGCGACCTGGGCGTGCGGCTTGAAGAAAGGATGAACCAAGCCGCATGAACACTCGCTGTTTAAACCGGGACGGGCCTGCGAGTTGATACAACAGGATCCCAGGCCGCACACCAGGAGAATGAGTCCCAGGCGTTCAAGTGTCAAAATGTGCGAGTGGGTCATGCGGCCTGAACCAAAGAGGGGCCGAGTCGCAGTAAAACTCGCTGTTTACACCGGCCTGGGAATGCGAGATGGTTCAAGCAGGACACCAGGTCGCACGATGAGAAGAAACACAAAAATCGTTCAAGTGTCAAAATGTGTGACCTGGGCGTGCGAGATGGTTTGGAGCTTGCCCAGGCCGTGCATAAATTCGCTGAATACACCAACTGGGACGTGCGGGACAGTCCAACAAGGAGCCAGGCCGCACACTGAGAAGAAGCGAACAGATTGTCCAAGGGTCAGAATGTGCGACCTGGTCATGCGAGTTGGATACAAAGAAGACCAGGCCGCACAAAAACTCGCTAAATACACCGGGTTGGACGTGCGGGTTTGTTGAAGGTTCAGCCAGGTCGCAGCATGAGAGAAGAGACAAGATCATGCAAAGGAGATTTTTGTGTGATCTGGGCATGCGATACAGTCAATTCCAGGTCCCAAATCGCACAAGAACTCGCGGTTTAAACCGAAACGGGCTTGCAGGTCATCAGGAGGTCATGCTAGGTCGCAGGCAAAAGGGGAAGGCCAAAGATCTCAGGAGAGTTTTGTGTATGACTTGGGCGTGCGGGACAGGAAGAAGAAGGTCCCAAGTCGCACACAAAGTCGCGGAACACACCGAGTCAGTCGTGCGGGATGAGAAACACCGGGTCCAAGGCGCAAAAAGGAGGGAAAAGGAGTCTGGTCAACAAAAAAAGGACAGGTCAAGCCATGACTGGTCAAAGTGGATCTATTGACCACCAGTGCAAAGGCTGTACCTAGTCCCACACTCTCTCTTCCTCACCAAAAACACGAGTTTGCCTTCTAAACCCATTTATCTCAATTGTTTTCTTCATAACTCTCTCATTACTTCACTAAATTCGTTGATTCAAAGTGCTCCAAGCTCGTTTTTGAGTTGGTTGTCTCATCCTGTTAGCATTTCAAACTCATTTGCATCATAATCGCAAGGTATTCACTCTGTTAAAACTCATTTTTTTCCATGTTCTTAAATGGTGATTTGTGAGCTTCATTTTCTAGAATCGATT